GCGCTTAGCTACAATTATTCTTTATCTCTTTGGTGTATTTTGTTCCCCAATAACTCTGCTGGGGCTCAGAGTTCCATGCTTACATGTTGACTGTGCCTGCAAAATCATAACCTTCTTTTTTCTGTGTGCCCTTCTTAAAAATGTTTTTAAACTGTTTTATTAAAGTGTAATTGACACATTGGCATTTAAAGTGTACATTTTGACAAATTTTAACATGTTATACATACATGAAAACACAATAATGAAGATAATGAGCATTTCCATTCCCCCCAAACATTCCCTGTGTCCCGTTGTAAAGGCTGCCTCACACCCATTCTTTCTCAGGCCATCAGTAAGTGGCTATCACAACAGATTAGTTTGAATTTTCCAGAATTTTGTAAAAATGCAATAATACTGAATGCACTCTTTACTCTGGCTTTTTCCCTCATATTTTTCCCTGATTATTTTGCGATTCATTCATGTTGTTATATGTACCAATAGCTTACTCTTTTTATTTATTGCTGAGTGGTACTGCATTTTCTGGATATGCCACTGTTTGTTTATGTATTCAAGTGTTGAGGGATAAGTGGAATGTTTCTAGTTTAGGCTATTATAAATAAAGCTGCTATGAGTTTTTATGTACAAGTTTTTGTATAGATATATGCTTTCCTTTCTTGGGGGTAAATTCCTAGGAATGGAAAGTCTAGACCATATGGTAGTTGTATATTTAATTTTTAAGAAACTGTTATACTGTTTTCCAAGCTGATTTTACTTTTTGTACATTTCTTCCATCCGTGCATGAGAACTGCATTTCCTCACCAAAACTTACTATGGTCAGCCTTTAATCTCAGTCATTCCAGCACATTGTGATAAAATCTCATTGTGGTCTTAATTTGCATATCTCCAAAATGTACGAAGTTGAACATCTTTTACTGTGTTTATTTTTCCATTCATATGTCTTCTTTAGTAAAGTGTCTATTCAAATTTTTCCCACTTCTTAAATTGGGCTGTTTGATTTATTATTACTAAATTTTGAATGTTCTTTATATATTCTGGGTACAAATCATTTATCAAGCATGTGCTTTGCAAATATTTTCTTCCTGCCAGTGGCCTGCCTACTAATCTTCTTAATGATGTCTTTTCAAAAGCAGAATAGTTTGTTCTTTAATTCTAAGCTGTCCTCGATGCCTTATGGCCCCTTTCCAAAACTCCAATGCTTCATATTTATGTTGGTCTAGTGGTGTTTCAGGCAAGAAAGTGAATCCACCCTATGTGAGCCCATCTTGGTCAGACATAGTTCTCAATCATAAGACTGCTGAGGTTAGAGGTCTTTTGTTATCTAGCCCTCTCCCAAATGTAGTAAATCATCTTGTACATGGTAAATGTTCAAAATGAATGTTTGTTGAGTAGTTAGAATTTGCTTAAAAAGTGAACACTAGAATAAATCTCCTCTCTCCATTTGTTTTTACATTGATACAGCTCAGGAGAGAGCTGTATCGATAGCAGCTCTTTCCTGAAAGGAGAGTGCAGTGAAATGAACATTCAGTTTAGTTCAAAGCCCAGAGTAACTGGCATTTAGTTAACGGAGGCTTTGATGATTACTTTCGAGGCAGATTATTACAGTTACAGAGCATTTTATTTTTTATTTTGTAATTAATGGATACATATTATTATTTTACTGCATAAAAATTAGTGACAAACAGCCTTCATAGACGTTTATGTTGCTGGTGATAAAATATGGCTCCTGAATAAGTCTAGGGTGCTTTTAATTTTCTTTTGTCAGTAGTTTTCTTTTTCCAATTGATTAATTCTTCAGAATGAGGAATACAAGAAGAGTCTTAAACTTTTAAGTTTTTAAAATGTGTAGTTTCAACCACAGGGACCTATTTCCTGAGTTGAATTAGTTTGTTGTCACATGGCAAATATTTAAGATCTTAAATAAAACCAATCTTTTGTTTTTATGATTGGGATTAAGAATAGAAGCTTTAACTTTGATTTTAAAGTTTTGACTTATAATTTGTCACAATAGCATTTAAAGAGTAAGGTTTTTGCTCTTTGAAATTTTCATAAATTTTAAACACTTTGAAGTATTTACTTAGTTCACTTTTACAGATCTCTACCTTCTATTAGTTCTGTAATTCTTTTTTAAAATATATTTTTATTGGTTTCAGAGAGAAAGGGGGGAGAGAGAGAGAGAGAGAGAGAGAGAGAGAGAGAGAGAGAGAGAATATCACTGATCGGCTGCCTCCTGCACACCCCACACTGGAGGTCCAGCCCGCAAACCCAATATGTGCCCTGACTGGGAATTGAACTGTGACCTCCTGATTTATAGGTCAACGCTCAGCCACTGAGCATGCTGGCTGGGCTGTTCTGTGATTCTTATTTAAGATCCTAAAGAGCACATTCTAAATCTGATTATGAGTATTATTTATTATTGCTATTATTATTAATAATTATTAATGGGATACAGTAGGAAATCTTACCTTTGATTTAATTTTCTTTTTTCATAATTTATTTTGGAGGAAATGAAGTGGAGCCTGGGATGGACTTAAACAGCATTGGGAAACTACCAGAAGTTCAAAAGCCATGCATGAAATTAAATTATGTTATTCAATGGAAACTAGCAAATGACTTGGCATATTCTTTTGCTTGTAAATTAATATTTATTTGGTGAATAGTACTTTTTGTTGGTAAATGTTTCCCTCCACATCCCGCGTGGATCAGGGTTCAGGACCTGGAAGCGGAGCCGCACACAAATGAAAGAGAAAAGACACGAGATAATTTGGAAATATTGGGGGACCAGGCGAGTAAGTCCAACTCAAGAGGAAGGACTTCCCCTGGTGCTCAGGCCGTGCCAACCTTTTATTGGTCTGGGATACACCCATAGCATAGCCCTTAGGCAGGCGACCCTGGGCAGCAGGCAGACTAGCCCATCAGCAAGGATTTACATAATAATAAATGGGGAAGTTACTTCAGCTACCACTGTCTGGACAAACAGAGGTGGCGCCTAGCTCCGACCTCGACCTTTGCTAGGGCTTCAAAGGCACCCAGCCTTGGGAGGGGGGGGGGTTCTCTGTCTACGCTTATCAGCTAGTGAAGACAATAAACGGTTTCCCACAACTTTTACTCTGAGTCAAACATGGTACTACTAGATGCTTAGAGTTAGCAAAGTGTAAAAAACTTCTACTTTTGCCTTTTAAAGCTTATGGTCTAGTTTAGATGTGGTTAAATTGGGATAAAAAGTGTTTCAGCCCTAGCTGATTTGGTTCAATGGATAGAGTGTCAGCCTGTGGATTGAAGGGCCCCGGGTTTAATTCCGGTCAAGGGCACGTACCTCGGTTGCAGACTCCCTGCCCTGGTCCAGGGCCTGCAGGAGGCAACCAATCTATGCGCCTCTCTCACATTGGTGTTTCTTTCTGTCTCTCACTCTCCTTCCCACTCTTCTAAAAATCAATGGAAAAAAATCCTCCAATGAGGATTTAAAAAAATAAGTGTGTTTTGGAGTTTTGGGTGAACTTCCTAAAACTTAGGGGATGTATCCTAAAGAGGCAGAGAGAATAGAGAGAGTTGACATCTTTTATTGTATCTAACTCACTCCTCCCCCCGCCCCAAATTAAGAACTATTGGTTTAGGGGTAAGAGAGACATGAAAATAAATAACAATGACCCTAGGTTATAAGTACTTTGAGGGGGCTATGTACAGAACACGTTGAACATCCATCAAAATATAATAATCATAAATGTGTATGTATCCAACATTGGAGCACCCAAATATATCAAGCAAACTTTAACAGAAATGAAAAGAAAAATAGACAACATTGCAATAAGAGTGGGAACTATCAACAATGGATAGATCATCTGAACAGAAAATCAGTAAGGAAACAGCAGACTTGAACAACATTATAGACCAAATAGACCTAATAAACAGAGAGTATTCCCTCCAACACCAGCAGAACACACGTTCTTACCCAATATACATGGAACATTCCCCAGGGTAGATCATATGTTAGGTCACAAAAAAAGTCTTAACAAATTTTTAAAAAGATTGAAATAACAGCAACTATTTTTCCCAACCACTATGGTATGAAATTAGAAAACAACAAGAGGAAGTTTGGAAAATTCACAAATATACGGATATTAAACATGCTCCTGAACAACCAATGGATTAAAGAAGAAATCAAAAGGAAAATAAAAACTGTCTTGAGACTGAAATGGAAATGCAACATAGCAAAACGTATGGGAAGCAGCAAAAGCAATGTTGAAAGAGAAGTTTATAGTGATAAATGCCTACATTAAAAAATAGAAAGATCTCAAGTGAAAAACCCAACTTTATAACTCAAGGAATTAGAAAAGAAGAACAATGTTAAGAAAAGAAAGAAAATAATGAAAAGTAGAGCAGAAATAAATAAAATGGAGACTAGGAAAATATAGAAAAGATTATCAAAATAAGAGTTGGTTATTTGAGAAGATGCAAATTGTAACCACAATGAGATATGACCTCATACCTGTTAGGATGGCTATATGTCTATTATAAAAAAGACAAGAGATAACAAGTGTTGGCAAGGACGTGGATAAAATAGAACCCTGATTTACTGTTGTTGTTTTTTTAATGTAAATTGGTATGGTCATTACAGAAAAAGGTATGGAGATTCCTCAAAAAATTAAAAATAAAACTACCATAGGATCCAGCAGTCCATTTATGAGTAGATATACAAGAAATGAAAACAGAATCATAAAGAGATATCTACATTCCCATGTTCATTGCTGCATTATTCAGCCTTAAGAAAGAAACAAATGCTGCCATTTGCAAAAACACAGGTGGACCTAGAGGTCAGAAGTCAGACATGGAAAGATCATTTACTGCAAGAACTCCCTTATGTAAATTTCAGCTGCACAACTTTATAATACAGCATCCGTATACTGCATTGTGTGCTCACCACCCGAAGTCTAGTCTCCTTCCATCACCATATGTTTGGCCCGACGATATCTGGTACATAATAGATTCTCAATAAATATTTGACAGTGCCTACTATGGCAGCACATATACTAAAGGAATGATACAGAGAAGGTTAGCATGGCCCCTGAGTAAGGATGACATGCAAATTCGTGAACTGTTCCATATTTTTAGAGAGTTAAATGTTATGTGATGACGGTATGGACTTTGTGGTAATCATTTCCCAATATACACACGTGTCAAATCATCACTCACCTTAAACTTATGCAATATTGTCAATGATATCTCAATAGAGCTGAGTGGGAGAGGAAAATGAATCCCTCCATAAATAAATAAATATAAAAAAATTAAGTCAGAATTTGCCATAGGTCAAAAAATTATACACATTCAAGTGTTTGTGTTCCCTTGTGTACTTGTTCAGTACAATGAAATATAATTTGTAAAAATTGAAAGAATAGACCCAACTAACACTCAACTGGAAAATATATAGGTGTTCATTATCAGGACTTGATTAAATAAGTGACAGTGCTGCTATTCAACGAAATAATCCACAAGCATTAAAAGACTTGTAAACATAAGGTTGATTTTTAAAAAGTTGAAGATGTATAAAATGAAAAATGAAAATCATAAAATTTATGCAAACATGTTTATATTTTGGTATTTTATACAACTGTCTGGACAGTGACTACTTCCAGTGGGATTGAGAGTAGATGCAGGGAGAACGAACTGTGTTTATTTCATACCATTCTCTAATATTTGATTATTTTAATAACAAGCACATATTATTTCTGTAATAACCATTTTAAAACTCCATTTTCCTCTAAGAGAAAAACTTCACAAGTTCCTTTGGCATTTTCTGCATTCTAAGACCAAGTATAGAAAGAAGCTGAGAGATCTCTTTAATACTCTGCCCAAGTGAGTACAGATTTTATTGGCGACAGAAGCAATATAAATATTTATCAGCAAAACTCATAGTCATCTAATGGGGAAAAAAGACTATCTTATGTATGACTCATATTGAATTGTCTAAAGCATAAAATAAAAATGCAGACCTCCTATGTAACCCACAAAGAAATGAAAAGCCATGGGACTGTATCTTTATTGTGTTTTTGAAAAAGTGATATTATAGTGGGAAATCAGAGACTATGGTACAGCAGCAGTTTAATTTAGTTCCTTTAAAATAGTAATAAAGTTTGCTGAGAAACTTGGTATATGTTTTCTAAGTATAAATCTCATAGAATTTTACTGACATATTGATGTAGAGATGATTCATTCAAAATGAGAAATAAGATTTTCCCATTTATATAGTATTTTTTCTGTTTATAATTATTGAAACAGTTTATGAATATCTGCTTTCTTCAATTAAAAGGAATCGTTTTAGATTTAAGCATAGCTAATTAAAAATTTTGAAGCTGCTTTTTAAATTAAATGTAGTGGGTAACATTGGTTAATAACTTTATATAAATGTCAGGTGTACTTTATAATACATCTGCATACTGCATTGCGTGTTCACCACCAGAAGTCTCCTACATCACCATATATTCACCATATATTTGATCCCCTTTACCCTTTTCATTCTACCCCCACCTCCCTTTCCCTCTGGTAACTATCATTCTTTTTTGTTTGTTGCATTTTGTTTTATATTCTACATATGAGTGGAATCAAATGATTCTTGTCTTTTTTCATTTGACTTATTTCACTTAGCATGCTACTCTCAAGAGTCATCCGTGTTGTCACAAATAGCAATATTTCATCTTCTCTTATGGCTGAGTACTATTCCATGGTATACCGTATACATACCACATCTTCCTTATCCAATCATCATTGAAGAACACTTAGGTTGTTTGCATATCTTGGCTATTGTGAATAATGCTGTAACGAACATAGGGGGTGCATATATCTTTATGAATAAGGATTCTCAAATTTTGGGGAACACAGTTTTTTGAGGAACTTCCATACTGTCTCCACTGGCTGCGCCAATTTACATTCCCACCAACAGGAATGAGAGTTCTTTTTTCTCCACGTCCTTGTCACCACTTGTTATTTATTTTCTTACTGATAATATCCTTTTATCAGGTGTGTATTGGTACTTCAGTGTGGTTTTGAATTGATTTGTATTTCTCTTATAACTAGTGATATTGGGCATCTGTATGCTGTTGTGAAGGAAATTTGTCTAAATGCTCTCAATGCCTACATAGCACCTCTCATGACTCTCAGTTTACCACAATGCTGAAGGGATTTAGTTTTCTCCGATTTCATTGGAACATATGAAGGTTCCTTTTAAGGATCAAATAAAAAGATCATGGTAAATGATTTTAGAAAATTTTGATTGAGTTTGCTTTTTGATTATTTTAACAATATGAAAAATGAATCACATTGCTTATTGGCTGTATTTATCTACCTTCTTTCTTGAGGTCCATGTAGGTTTGAGATATAAAGAAAGCATAAATTAATTCTGCCATTTGCCCATCATTGCCTACTGCTACCATCAGCATTCCACTTCTCAGGTTCTGGCCACATTGAGTAGTACACAGACTAATAAAAATATAACAGCCTGGCTAGTATGGCTCAGTTAGTTGGAGCGTAGTTCCCTACATCAAACACTTTGATTGTTCTTTCTGAGCTACCCAGCCCTTCATTTCACCTTCCTGCTTTCTCCCACAGCCCTGTTCAATACTCCACTGCTTTAGGCATCCTTTGACCTATTTTGTGGTTATGGCTGTCTCTAGTGGTTCCATTAAAGATGTGGTTTACAGCTTTCTGTTCATTCTTCTTGTTGATTTATGAGAGGTGAGGGAAAAGGCTGATTTCGCACTAATATTTTTCAAACCTACCCTCATTCTCACTGTCCTCTGTGCCCTCTTCTATTGCTGGCTGCTGCTTCTTGGTCTCATTGGTTAGATTTTCTTCTTTTTTTCCAACCTCTCACTATGAAATGGCACATGATTCAGTTCTTAGAATGCCTCTTCTCCATCTGGGTTCACACCCAGTGCCAAGAACTTATATTTGCTGACGACTCTCAAATTTGTATCCGTATTTCTAAAGTCTCTACTGAGCCCCAAATTCATATGCCGTCTGCCTACCAACACTGTCACTTAGGTATCTACTAGGCATCTCTAATTTACCATGTCCAAAGCTATGCTCTTTTTTTTAATTCTTCCCTTAGACTTATAGCACCATCATTTTTACCCAGTTTCTCAGGGCCAACACAGGGTGTATCCTTAATTCTTCTCTCATTTTTTTCCACTCTACATCAATGCTACTAGACAATTCCATCAGTTCTATCTTCAATATACCTCCAGAATCGTACCCCTTCTCACTATTTCTACATGCAACCTTAGTCTACTGGTAATCCACCACGAATTCTCCCTTGCCTAGTACAATAATCTCCAATTGGGTTTCCTCTTTTATTCTGCTTTACTGGTCTGTTTTCCATGTAACAACCATCATTAACTCTGTCAAATCATATGATTTTTTTTTGCTTCAATGGCTTCCCATCACACTTAAAAATAAATCCAAGCCACTCATCTACCAGGTCCTGTAGTCATGATGATCTGTCATCTACTCATTGACTCATCTTCTGCTACCTTCTCCCCCACCACTTCTGCTCCAGCCATGCTGGTCTCCTTGCTGATCCTCAAGGAAGCACACATGATCCTGCCTCAGGCCCTTTGCACCTGCCGTTCCTTCAGCCTGGAACACTCTTCCCCCAAGATTTACCTGGCTGTCTCTCTCACATCAGTCAAGGTCAAATTTATCCTTCTCATAGGGGCCATCCCTGTCCAGCCTACATAAATCTGCCACTCTCAACTTACTTTATTTTTTATAGCATGTGTTTCTTATGTGCCTCACTAATGTGGACTCAAAGAGGGCAGGGATTTGGTCTCTCTTGCTCTCTGACATGCTCCTCTCACCCAGTTCCTGACACAAGCAGGATTTCAGCACAAGTATATTAAATTAATCAATCAGTCAATAAATAAATATGTAGGCCTCATGTTTATTGTCTATGAAATATGATGGTAAACTAGTGTGCAGGTCTCTGATTCTTTGTTTCATTATGGTAAAAAGTTGACCACCTGGACAAAAAGTCTATTTTTAATGTGCTAAGGCATTTGGCGGGGAGTGTAGGAGATCAGCAGTCACCTTTTTTCTTGTCATTGATTTTCTTAGAAGAGGAAACTTTTCAGCTGAAATTTGAAGGGTTAGTAAGAGTTGCTAAGTGTGCACTGGACACTTTGGAATGGAAATGGGGATGCAGTTATAATAAACACTAACATTTTGGGGCATCACTATGATGCAGGGACCCTTCAAAGAACTATGTATGTATTTGCTCATTGAGTCCTTACAACATACCAGGGAGGTATAGGTTTCACTTGGTCATCACTTTATAGATTGGGATCCCTAAGGTCCCCAAGATCACACAGCTAGGAAGGGGGCTTCCAATCCTGGCAGTTGCCTCAGAGCCCACACTCTAGTCCATGTCTCTCTTCTGCCCTTTCAGGGAGAAAGACATTCTATGCAGACAAGGACCTGAAGGAAGGGGTGGTAGTTTGGGGTGATAGTGAGTTTATCATGAAAGAAATCAGACTGAGAACAAAATGTCTGTTTTTTTTTAGATTAGTGTTATTCCTAATATGCTATGCTGCCTTCAGCATAGAAACCAATATTTAAAAATCAATCAAAGAAAAGACCCAGGCCAATAATGATTATATGAGCAATGTGATTGATGTTATTTACTCCAGCTAGATTAAAATTTTCCCTAGGAAAAGAAATCTATAAAGGCAAGAGGAGCCATTATATAAAGCTATATATAAAGCCTTCCAGATAGTAAAATGGATGCCATAAATTATTTCTGCCTCTGTGGAGAGGGGAGGCTCTTTCTTGCCCATTTAGCAAGCTTAGAAAAGAATGGAATTGTGGGAATCATTAGATCAGATTAAATTCATCTGGTTCCAACTTTTAATGCCCCTCCCGATGCCCTTCCAGGGGCCACTAAACCAAGCCTAAATTGAAGATATCTGGGGGAATTATTTAGAGAAGGTGAGCAAAGCTACCTGATGAAAAGAACCATGGAGTCATTGGACATTAATCATCAAGTTTCTTCCTAGGGTCACAATTGTCAAATTGTTGCAACCACTCCACTTGTAACTCCCACCCTCATGGTCCATCCAC